TAAACATAGTACATTTTGTTAATGTTTTTACAAGAGTAAATTTGTGTTTTAAGTTTTAAATTATGCCAAAGTTAATTTGAGTTGAAATGGTAAATACAGGGGTACAGAGCACCACTTGGTTTCCGAACCCCTTGGGGACGAGACCCGTCGGTTAACATGTAAGTTCGTATACGAGAAATAGAGGGGAAAAAATAAACTAGAAATGTAAAAAGAAATTTTTCCGAAAAATTTATGAAAAAACTCTAGGGAAAAAAATCGTCAGGTTCATGGCGAAGTCCTGATCCGCTTTATAAAAGTCCTTAATTGTTCCTAACTGATTATTAAGACGTCTGGCAAACATCCTCTGGATGTTTCCTGCCAGCCTGCAGGAACATCCTGCCTAAAATATACGATGATGTACTGTACATTAAGAAACAAATCTGGGTCACAGGTCTGTGGAGTGTGGTTAGGCTTACGGAGTCAGCCGGTCCCTCCCCCACCACCGACACACCTCCCCCTCTCCCCCCACCACCGACACACCTCCCCCTCTCCCCCCCACCACCGACACACCTCCCCCTCTCCCCCCACCACCGACACACCACCCCCACCCCCCACCCCAAACCCATACACACACACACACACACACACACACACACACACACTCTCAAAGGTCACGTGGTTCACGGTTCACTTCAACACCCATATATCGCTTCCTGCCTGCCTGCCTGCCTGCCTGCCTCCTTCCCAGCCTGCCTCCTTCCCAGCCTGCCTCCTTCCCAGCCTGCCTCCTTCCCAGCCTGCCAGCCTGCCTCCTTCCCTGCCTGCCAGCCTGCCTCCCTCCCTGCCATCATGCTAACGGGTAGTGTGTGTTAGGCTTATCTTCGGGAATGAGCCGGTCTCACCCCCACCACCAACAAACCACCCGCCCCCTACATCCCATCTCTCAAGGTCACGCGGTTCAACCGCGTGACTACCACTCACTCCCTGCCTGCAAGCTAGCCTGCCTGCCTGCCTGCCTGCCTGCCTGTCTGCCTGCCTGTCTGCCTGCCTGTGCCTGCCTGCCTGTGCCTGCCAGCCTGCCTGCCTGTGCCTGCCAGCCTGCCTTTCCCTCCCTAATTCTCACTACTTCCATCCCTTCCTGCCTACCTCCTAGCATCTCTCCCTACCTCCCCCTCCCTCTTAGCATCTCTCCCTACCTCTTAACATCTCTCCCTACCTCCCCCCCTCTCTCACTGATTCTCCCCCCCCCCCTCATTCATACTGCCTCCCACCTAAGCTCCATCGTCCATCCACCCACCACTGACGCAATGCGTGCATTTGGAGCCAACATGGTGCACAGAAGTTTCTTGATTGTGCAGATATGTAAAACAAAAGCACAGAATGAACATTCCAGCCTTATGACAATTCAAAATAATAGGAATAATAGGCCGTGAATCTGTGAAGTCACAGTGGGCAAACTGGACCATCGCCCACCCACCACAACAAGCCGGCGTGACGCTTTGCAGACCCCTTCCTACCCGAACTTTGTTCGGGTAGCATGACTCCCCAACCCCAATCGGGAAACTGGAAGTTTCGGATAACTAAAGTTCGGAAACCAAGTGGTGCTCTGTACCTCAGTTTAAGAGTTTAATCCGTTCCTGGAGACAGCTCGTACTCCGAAATCTCATAAACTGAATCTAATTTTCCCGTAATAAATCATGGGAAATGAAATAATCCGTTCCTGACTACCCAAAAACCTCACTTCAAACTAAATTTGATACCTAATTCATCTAAATCTACACTACCAAAATATGTTCGTTATTACTTAACCTTGCTGATGACTGCTGTTGGCGTATGGAAGATGGTGAGGAGGAGAGGTGTTAATGTTTGAAAAGGGAGTCCCTTTCCATTATAACATCAAGCAGTGAGGACCTCTCTGGAATGCATTCTCTGACACGTTTTCCTTGCATACCACTAGGTCCTGGTTGTGGCTCATTGCTCGATTTTCTCACAACAAAGCGGTCCGTTAAAGATTGTTTTTCCCTTCTTCGCAAGATGTTTCTGTAGTGAGGCATTACATTGTCATTGAAAAGATTAATGCAACGGCCTACTACAGCTTTCTCTGGGTGAGTCGTTTCAATAAAAGTTTGCATTTCTTTCCACATCTGACACCACTTCTTAATATCTGCAGAAGGGACATTCGCTATTGCCTCATCCTCCTCCACTGGAGAAACATCCTCAGCTGGGTCTTCTTGCTGCTCCTTTTGAAGGGTTTGGAGTTCTTCGTTGTGTTCTTCCACCAACTCCTCCACATCATCACCATCCAATTCCAAGCCCATTTGCCGGCCCAGAGTAACAATTTCCTCAACAATAGGAACATCATTTACAGGCTCAAACCACCCTCAAAGTTTAGTTCTGTCACACATTCAGGCCACAGTTTTCTCCAGCCAGAGATCAGGGTTCTTTGAGTCACTTCTTGCCAGGCTTTGTCAATGAGTTTTAAAGCACTTCAAATATTAAAATGGTGTTTCCAGAACTCTTTGAGGGTGAGGTTTATGGCTTTAGTCACTGAAAAACATTTCCAGAAAAGTGCCCTTTCATAAAGTTTCTTAAAATTCGCTATAATTTTCTGGTCCATAGGCTGAATTAGAGGAGTGGTGTTAGGAGTAAGGAACTTTTCTGTGAGAAAATTACTGTATCTGTTCAACAAATCATCTTCCAAGCCTGGAGGATGAGCAGGAGCTTTGTCGAGGAGAAGCAGGGCTTTGAGTGGCAAACTTTTCTCCTGTAGATACTTTTGTATGGCAGGGCACACCACTTCATTCACCCACTCCAAAAAATAAAAATCCAAGTCACCCATGCCTTATTAGCCTTCCACATCACACACACATGGTTTTTCTGCACTTTATACTGTTTGAAAACCCTTTGATTTTCAGAATGATACACAAGCAAGGGTTTAATTTTCAAATTGCCACTCGCATTTGAACACAGCACAAGGGTAAACCTATCTTTCATAGGCTTGTGTCCGGGCAATGATTTTTTCCTCCTTGGTAATGTATGTCCTCTTAGGCAATCTTTTCCAGAACAATCCTGTTTCATCACAATTAAACACTCTTTGTGTTTAATTGTGTTTCTTAATTGCGGTAGATATCCCTCAGCCTCTGCAAACTCTCTAAATTCTTCAATAAATCTTTCAGCCGTTGGTTTGTCTGAGCTGGCTGCCTCCCCATGCCTCACAACACTATGAATACCACTTCTTTTTTTAAATTTTTCAAACCATCGCCTGCTTGCCTTAAAGTCTTTCGTATCTGCATCACTTGTTCCAGGAGTTTTCTTTACAAGGTCTTCGTGCAAGGGAGCCGGTCGGCCGAGCGGACAGCACGCTGGATTTGTGATCCTGTGGTCCTGGGTTCGATCCCAGGCGCCGGCGAAAAACAATGGGCAGAGTTTCTTTCACCCTATGCCCCTGTTACCTAGCAGTAAAATAGGTACCTGGGTGTTAGTCAGCTGTCACGGGCTGCTTCCTGGGGGTGGAGGCCTGGTCGAGGACCGGGCCGCGGGGACACTAAAGCCCCGAAATCATCTCAAGATAACCTCAAGAATACCCTGGATTTCTCACAAACAATGGCATCTGAAACACTATCACCCTTTAACTCCTTGTCGTGTATCCAAATTAATAACAACTTTTCCACTTCCTCAAGTATTTGTGGTCTTTGTTTCGTGATTGTTTTTACGCCTTTTGCCACTTTAGCAATCATAGTGTCCTTTTTCTTGCTAAGTATAGTGCATATTGTTGACGTGACTTTGTTGTACTGCCTACAAAGTTCAACAACACATGCACCATTTTCATGTTTCCGAATGATCTCTTGTTTTTCCTCTATTGTCATCCTCACATGCGATTTCTTGTCTTGATCTTGGCTTTCTTGGGACCCATGGTGAGATATATAACAACTTTTATGGTCAAATGGCCAAAAATCCAACAAAAACACTAAGTCCTGGTGAAGAATTCAGGCGGGATAGTCACTGGCCGCGAGGCACTGGAAAATCTGTGGGGCGATTGCTGTATCACCATGTGCTAGGTCGGCCTGTATGCATATCAACACCCTCGTCTTCCGAGACAACGCTCGTATTCCGATGTAAATTTTCCGAGCAAATCCTGCTCGTATTCCGAAAAACTCGTATACAGGGACACTCGTTTTCCGAAGTACCACTATAATGTATATGTGGTGCAAGGACATGACTTGTGAGGTGCTGCAGGGTCAGTAGCCCCAACCCTGCAGACTAGAAGAGTATTGCCAGAAGACCAGAAGAGGAGCAGTTTAGTTTGTTTCACCCTTGCACTCGAAATGAGTCATTCAATGGTATACTGCGGTATATTTCTGTTTTAACTTTAATTAATATGATAAATATTTGATAATTAGAACTAATCAAGTACTAGATAAAAATATTTTTCATAAAAACAGGAATAATATGTAGAGTTGCTAACCTTGAATAGGCAAGACCACACACACAAATGTCTGCTATACATAGTTTCCTCCTTTCCTCAGTAAAATGACATGAAATACTTTGTTATATTAAATATTTTCATACATGTTCACTAATGTTTGATAAAAGCAAATTAGACCGAATTTAGCTTATTCCTTTTGAAGGTGTGCAGAGATATACATCAATTTACCTTTACATACACTTCCTTCATTCATTTAGAATGCAAACTTTTTCCTAGTTATGTTAAAACTTATTATTTAATATGCAATATTATATTATAAATGCAACATTTGCCAGCATCATCCTTGTAATGAGGCTTGTTATTGGATCTCAATTGTTTTGACTAAAGGTATTAATTATTTGTGATGCTAGACTTGGGATGCACTGATATCCAAGCTGTTACCATTCTTGGCACTGCATAATATTGTTCATACAATACTTTTCTAGACTTTGCAGGTGAGTGGAAAATGGGTTTATAATGATGTGAATGTCTTCATCTTTATGCTGATAATGCTACCACTTTAATATTTCTATTAGTTTTTGTTTTTGGTTCACAGAGGTGGACAGTGTGTTATCACGCATGCAGATAATTGGCGTCATATTGTGCTTCCGACTATTGGCTCAGGAGGCACTTGCTGATGTGCTTGACAATCGCATTCCTTATCTCATGTCATCTATAGCTGATTTCAAGCACCATGTCCCCAATGGAGATACCATGGTCAGTGTTGATATACCAATGTACTTTTACTTTTTTTTTTTTTTTTTTTTTTTTTAGATATATACAAGAGTTGTTACATTCTTGTACTACTTATGTTTTTAAGAAACTGCAATGATATGAATATGAGCTCTGAATATGCCTAAGTATTTTACAGTGTAATATTAGAAAATGTACTAAAAATATATAAATGTCCTTATTAGAAACACCATTCATTATTCATGTACTGTACTTCCTTGAAACTTTCAACACTGGCATATAGTGTTACAAGGAAATTCACTTGTTGTTATTGGGTCATGTATTTCCAGGTGGCAAATTTAAAAATAGTTTTAAAACATCATTGAGTTCGGTTGAGGAGGTGTTGGTTGGGTTAAGTGATATCTAGAAAAAATTAGCATTCATGCACCAAAATTTCTACACATGTGGTGTGATGTCAACAGATACTTGCAGTAGTCTCAGATATGAACAATATTCTAGGATTTTTGCACTAAAGCCAATTTCTTCAGTCTCCCTAAAACTCTCAAACTTTATATTCCTCTTCGTTCTATCATTTCTTCAAGAGGCTCTGTTGTTATCCTCCTGCCTCCTGGTTTGCCAAAACTCTCACTCTGCTTCTTGGTAGTTTTTCTCCTACCCACCTTCGTCACTCTCAGGTCTTCATCGAAAGATTGTTCCTGCAGCCTTCTTGCAAAATGCTTACTTTTAACCCTTTAACTGCGCAACGTGCCTGCAGGCCCACGTCTGGGGTGCACTACGCGCCTCCAGGTATTTGTATTTTTCACGTTCCATTCAAAACTCCCGCGGCTACATGGGTTTCACATCAGCTTCCTCAGGGCTCTTGTAAACAGACGCCATCTTTAACACATAAACTGCACATGATGTATATATACACCCTGAGTAACATGTCCCACCGTGCGCATGGCGTATATATACGCCCAAGGGTGCCAGGCACGATTCAAATGGCCCGCAGCTACACGGGGTTCACATTAGCTTTCTCAGGGCTCTTGTAAACAGACGCCATTTAAAAAAAAAATCGTGGGCAATATTCTCAGGTGTGAGAGGCACAGTACTGTTGGAGCAACCGAGGTTGGCGCACGCAGCATGAGCGAACAGCATTGCTGTTCAGCTTGTGACCACAGCATAGCTGAAAAATGTCAAAATAAATACAGTATATAATTGCTATTATTTAGCGATGACAATATTACAGATGACCCCTGACTGTGATATAAATAACCAGGGTTGTGATAATAGCAGAATTGTTGTAATAATTAGCGCTGTAAGAGGAGTGATGATGTAAGAGGAGTGATGCAGATACAATTACCCACCGAAAGGGAACTACAACTACGACAGAAAACTGCCCTACAACAATCAGTACTGGTCAGAACAAACTCATTATGTCCACGAATAATGGACTTGCCGAAAAAGTCTCCCATTCAAACTATCACTAATAGAGTAACCTCATTCATCTTTGCCAACATACAAGGCCTGAAAACAAGAACAAACAACAAAGTACAGTTCATAAATGGCCTCCTCACGGAGTCAAATGCAGTATTTGGAGCTTACACAGAAACCCATGCAGGGGAATTGTTGGACAGTGAGATCTGGATTCCAGGATATAACCTATACAGGTGTGATAGGAAAATTAGGTCACATGGAGGAGTGGGTCTGTATATTAGGGAAGACCTTGTATGCTCGGAGCTCCTAAACGTTACAAATGAGGTGGTAGAGGTACTGGGATTAAAAATAGAGAAAATAAATTTAGTGATTATACTAATATACAAACTGCCAGATGCAACGGCTGAGGAATTCACAGAACAGATAAGCAAAATAGAGAATAGCCTTGATAATTTGGAGAACCCGATACCTGATATTATCTTCCTAGCTGACTTCAACTTGCCTAGTCTCAGGTGGAAAATAGCAAACAATAATATTATACCATGAAATCTATCAGGACCTAACCAACCACAGATTAGAGAACTACTTAGATTCTGTGACAAATTTTCACTCAATCAGCAGATATCGGAGCCAACGAGAAATGAAAATATTCTAGATCTGGTCTTTACGAACAATGAAGACATTATCAGAGACATTACGATATCAGATACCACATATTCAGATCACAAGCTCATTGAAGTGCAAACGACCATCAATACTCAGAATAGACCTAAAATGTTGATAAAGCGAGAGGGGCTATTCAGTAAATTCAATTTTAATAATAAAAGGATAGACTGGGAGATAATAAACAGGGAACTTAAAAACATTCCATGGGGAACTGTTCTAAGTAATACAAGTCCTACAGAAGGAATAGAAAAACTGACTTCAGAAGCGTATCAAGTCTGTCTGAAACATGTTCCTTTGAGGAAAGCCAGAAAGAGATCTAACGTAGAAAGAGAACGCAGACGACACTATAAACGCAGGAAAAAAATAACGGAACTGCTTATGCAGACACGAATTTCCCGTCAAAGAAGGAATAATTTAAATAGGGAGATTGAAGAAATCGAGCGGAAATTGAAACACTCATATGAAACTGAAGAAAGGCAGTTAGAACAGAAAGGAATTAAGGAAATAAAGAAAAATCCAAAATATTTCTTCTCATATGCAAAATCAAAAGCAAAAACCACTGCCAGTATTGGACCTATTCGTACAAGTGAAGGTTCATACACGGAGGATGACAAAGAAATTAGTGAAATCCTAAAAAAGCAGTATGAGGGCATGTTTAGCACTCCAATAAACAACATGAAGGTGGAAGATCAAGACAATTTCTTTATGCGGGATATTCAAACCCTTGTAAATATAACTGATATAAACACGAGCGCACTAAATTTTGAAAAAGAAATTGAAAACATGCCCATGCACTCGGCCCCAGGTCCAGACTCATGGAATTCAATATTTATAAAGAAATGCAAAGTGCCGGTAGCACAGGCACTCAGTATAGTGTGGAGGAAGAGCTTGGACACGGGGGAGATACCAGATGCACTTAAAGTAGCAGACATAGCCCCTCTACACAAGGGAGGGAGCAAAGCATTGGCAAAAAATTATAGACCAGTTGCACTAACATCGCACATCATAAAAGTATTTGAGAGAGTGATTAGGAGTCAGGTCACCAATTTCATGGAGACCAATGACCTTCACAACCCAGGCTAACATGGATTTCGAGCGGGAAGATCGTGCCTCTCACAGTTACTTGAGCACTACGACAAAGTCACTGAGGCATTAGAAGAGAAACAGAATGCTGATGTGATATACACGGACTTCGCAAAGGCTTTCGATAAATGTGACCATGGCGTGATAGCACACAAAATGAAGTGAATGGGAATAACCGGTAAAGTAGGACGCTGGATACTCAGTTTTCTGTCAAACAGGACTCAGCGAGTAACTGTCAACCATATAAAATCTAGTCCAAGTGCAGTGAAAAGCTCTGTACCTCAGGGTACAGTCCTTGCACCGCTGCTTTTCCTTATTCTCATATCAGATATAGACAAAAATACAAGTCACAGCTTCGTATCATCCTTTGCAGATGACACAAAAATCAGTATGAAAATTACCTCGGCTGAGGACATTGAAAAACTTCAAGCTGATATTAATAAAGTTTTCGACTGGGCATCAGAAAATAACATGATGTTTAACAGTGATAAATTCCAGGTACTCAGGTACGGTAAAAATGAGGACCTTAAACATAATACAGAGTACAAAACACAATCAAATGTACCCATAGTAGGAAAACAGCATGTAAAGGATTTGGGAATAATAATGTCTGACGACCTAACGTTTAAGGAGCATAACCAAGCAAATATTGCGACAGCCAGAAAAATGATAGGATGGATTACGAGAACTTTCAAATCCAGGGATCCCATCACAATGGTTGTACTCTTCAAGTCACTTGTGTTGTCCCGTCTTGAGTACTGCTCAGTACTCACTTCCCCCTTCAGAGCAGGAGAGATTGCTGAAATAGAGGGAATACAGAGAACATATACGGCACGCATAGACGCAATAAAGCACCTAAATTATTGGGATCGTCTCAAAGCCCTCCAAATGTACTCACTAGAAAGAAGACGAGAGAGATATCAAATAATATACACCTGGAAGATACTGGAGGGCCAAGTACCAAATCTACACAGTAAAATAACAACGTACTGGAGTAAACGATATGGAAGAAAATGTAGAATAGAACCAGTGAAGAGCAGAGGTGCCATAGGCACAATCAGAGAACACTGTATAAACATCAGAGGTCCGCGGTTGTTCAACGTCCTCCCAGCAAGCATAAGAAATATTGCCGGAACAACCGTGGACATTTTCAAGAGGAAACTAGATTTATTCCTCCAAGGAGTGCCGGACCAACCGGGCTGTGGTGGATATGTGGGCCTGCGGGCCGCTCCAAGCAACAGCCTGGTGGACCAAACTCTCACAAGTCAAGCCTGGCCTCGGGCCGGGCTTGGGGAGTAGAAGAACTCCCAGAACCCCATCAACCAGGTATCAACCAGGTATGAGGGACGGAGGAAGATTGCATCGTTTACTGAATGTGTGGTCACCTGTTATTGTCTGCATTCACCATACCAGCTCAGTGGTTCTCTGTGGTGAACACAAATGTAGATACTTATATATAATGTGTGTATTAGTGTAATAACAGCAAAAGCATTATGCTGGGAGGAGCCATTTGGGTGACGGAGGTGACGTCGTTTGCATGATTTGTCTGGCTGTGCAGAGGGTGGCCACTATGCTCTTTGGGCACTCTACAAGCTTCGGTGTACAGTTACGGTGTATACAACATGTAGATACTTATATATAATACTGTATGTGTGTATATAGTGTAATAACACTGCAAACAGTATTGTTGGGGGAAAAAGTTTAGTGCATGAGACCTCGAATGAGTGAGGGAGCTGCCAGCTGGCTGTGTGTATAGCGACGACTCTTAGTGCCTGAACTAACTATATCAGCTTAGTTGTACAGTTGTGGTGAACAAAACTTGTAGATTCTTATATATAATGTCTGTATATTGTGAATAA